CCGAATGATACTTCCTGCACAACAGGGCCTAATCGCCAAAAAATTACCATTGCATTCATTTGTGCATCTGCGCAATAAATATGTATTATTACATCAAAACCGTCTCTCCTGATTGAAATGAAGCTCAGCGCAAGTTCAACCAGGAAGACCGTCTCTACTCATTCATGTATTTCTATTCCCATGTTATTACTCTCTCTCCTCTCAATAAGTGACCGGGGGCGTCACTCTTCAGCTTAACCAATCACTTCGCTCTATTCCCAAGAGCCTATCATAGCGCTCCGTCAAACCTTTTAAATCTGCTCTCCCCTCTGACAGCTCTCATTCCAGGTGAATCGGCGCAACACACAGACAGCAATCGCCAAACTAACCTCGTACTTCATGGTTTATGATTCTCAAGACGTCCGAGTACTCAGACCACGACCAGCTTCCAGCAGGATCTTGATCCGGGCCCGACACACTGCCTGAGTCCCTACGCAACTTCCTCAAGCTGCCGCTCACCTGCAGCAGAGGCAGATCTCCTCCTTTCCAAACTACAGCAGCAAGGCATTATTTCAGCTCCAGGCCTATCTCTTCACCAGCTCCGCAGGCTCGCAGATCAAGCTACAGGTGGCGTTCCCCAGTTCGAGTCAGCGGCTCCAGCTGGCTACCCGCAAACCCGGATGCGGGAGGAAAAAGGACAAGGAAGTCGGGCTCCACGGAAGCTCCTCTGGCTTAATGGAAAATCTTCCCGGCTCGCTCCAACGCTCACCATAGCAGCCGCCCCCGGGTAATAGCTCGATCAACACCCCGCATCTCTGGCTTACTTCATGCAAACAATTGACGGCGCAGGCCTTCAGTCTCCGGGCATCACCGGCATCAGGGCCGCTCAAATCATCGCATGCGAAGCTTCACCCCATCTCTGGTTTCAACCATCACAGCCCCTCCCGTAGGGCTTAGGCCTACATCCGATAGCAGCTACATCTCCTCCCGGCTAGTAGTTCGCACCGGACAACAAGTTGCCGTCATTAGCGGCTAGCAGTTTCACTGCACAGCTCCGGGCTCTCGCCCCCTTCTGCCTACTGCTCATCAGCGTGTCCATGTTATTTCACTTGTGTGAACTCGCAACATCAATTTACGTCATCTACGTCAAAGATCTTCTATTCACACCAAGATGTTACATCCCCCTTCTTTTGAAAATAAAGTATTGCTGCATATCAAATTACAATCATATGCTTTAAATATATATATATATATATATATATATATTTATATATATATAAATTCAAGTCTAAGGCACTATATCAACCACTTGCACATAAGTACCGTATCACTGAGGGAATATAAACTGGTAAATCAACATTTAGTTAATTAATCTGCAGTATAACCTTACATTCTAAACGGAAGAGCTCACCTGTTGAACCAAAGATGTTTTGCTCTGCTTGCAGAGAGTCACCCCCCTTTTCCTCGACTACGGTTGGGAGCTGATATGACAACGGTACAATGCTTCCTCTTTCCACGCACGGATGATTATGCAATCAAATAATTAGCGTGCAGGCCAAGGCTGGCCCTCCAAAGCAGATATTAACGTCGCTCTTAACGTTCCAACTCATCCATCCCAGTGGAACTCCTTCAGCCTCAGATGGGAGTAAAGTAAAAAAAAAAAAAAAAACACAACGCGTGCACCGGCTACATGGGTAAGTAATATTAATAGTTGCTCTTCTCAGTCCAAATCACCCACTGCTCAGGGAGATCCCCTCATGCGTTGCCCTTTACGCCATCTAGGTTCAAATAATACAACATTACATAACATCGTAACACCGCTCAACTGGAAAGAAGAGAGAAAGAAGAAAGAAGAAGAGACTCCTTCAGGAGCACGGCGTTCCTAAATCAAAGAGGAACTATACGCTCAGTCACACACCCGGAGTCCTAGGTATCACACCGAGCTTCATAGTAATGAAACGTTCTCTTAACCGAAAAACTGCCGTGCATCCACAATAACGTCAAGCTGTATTACAGCAAATCATCACCAACGGCAGTTGCTCTCCCTCACCGGGCAACTGTATATCGCCATGCGGATAATCATTGGCACGCCATCATCTCCCATCTTCTGGACGTGGCGTCCGCCGTCCTTACAACGATCGTGCATTTCCCCGACTCTTTAGGATGTGCACGGCACATCCTTTGTTTTGGGGGGATTATCTGCAGGGTGAGCGAGTCGCAGGTCCCGGGCCCACTCACTAGCGACTCTTTCCGGCACGAGATCAACCGCCATAGCGGCACGCACAGTTTTCCACCTATTGCCTTATACATTCATAATCATACCTCGTCTGGTTTCTACCACTAGCTCTCCCTCCATCATTCTCATTTCAGATGATATCGAAAAACTGTCCATCATCACTTAAGCAAGCATTATAAAAATTGAATTCTCCCCAAACATCGGGGCAGTCCTTCTAGGGTAGGTGCAGCTACTCACCTCCCTATTCAAAAGCTCAGCGTCGGCTATCAAAGATCTCTCAAGCTTACTTCTGGTAAGATCTGCATATAACTGGTGGTGGTGTCAATTATCATATTCAAATCCCAACAATCAGCTATCACCATAGTGCTTCCCATCATTCGTTATTTTGTGTCCACTTTCATTGTCCTCTCTATGATTTTCTGCTTCTGTTTTATCATGCTCTGTTGCCTCTTAGCATTTTTTTCTCAAACCTAGTTCACAGGTCATGTTTAATTAATTACCTAAGTGCAATGTCATATTCACGCCGTGCGTTTGCACTTCATTCAAAGTCACTGTTCATGCTCATGCGCATTTCATGCATCTGACCCAGGAAGGGTCTGCGTCTCAGGCTTGTTTATAAGCCGGGATACGATATCCATGCATCACCGTACTCAAGCTAACGGCTCACGTGCATTACGCTGCCTACACCTCCTTCACTCGCCCGGACATCAGCTCCGTGCTGGCAATCCAATAATCTCTCAAGCCTTAACTCGGGGTAAATATGCATATAACTGGTGGTGGTCTTTATAGCATATCGGCATATCACTCATCATGTCACTGTCTGTACATAAATACGCATAACATTCCATGTCTCATTACCCATGCTAACAACCATGTGCATTTCAATTCTGTATACTCATCATTGTCTCATTCTCATGCTAAACCCATGTGTCATTCATGCATTCGACCGGAAGGGTCTGGGCTTGTGTCAAGTCAGGATATGACCAGATCATCCATGCATCATAGTAGGCCTACGCCCCAGCCCATCTCATGTTTAACTCCCTTGCATTTCATGCACTCATAGCCGATTAATATTCATTTCACCATCCCCTGCTAAAACCCCATGGCATTCCATGCACTCCAAGCCCAATATATATTCCGAGTCTCCTTCCCCTGCTAAAACCCCATGTGCATTCCATGCACTTAGTCTAAGCCCAATATATATTCCGAGTCTCCTTCCCCTGCTAAAACCCCATGTGCATTCCATGCACTTAGTCTAAGCCCAATATATATTCCGAGTCTCCTTCCCCTGCTAAAACCCCATGTGCATTCCATGCACTTACGCTAAGCCCGATATATATTCCGAGTCTCCTTCCCCTGCTAAGACCCCATGTGCATTCCATGCACTCACTCTAAGCCCGATATATATTCCGAGTCTCCTTCCCCTGCTAAAACCCCATGTGCATTCCATGCATCTCAGCCATTTTATACATTCATGTGTCCCTTCATGCTTTATCCTCGACCAGGGCCTGGCTCGGTGTCGAGCCAGGCTCTAATTCATGTGTCATCGTTCGGCTCTAACAAGCTGAAGGTCCGTTCCTTTAGAGTAACTCCACTCTTAATGATATGCTATTCAATAAACTCTTCTTCTCTCCTCCTGTATAACTCTCATCATATCCCATAGATCTCTGCATCCAGCCCATATGGTAAGAAACCCGTACATTTCATTCCATAATACTATTTCGTTTTGGGGGGTTTCATCGGATCGGTTCTACCCTCCCGAATGATACTTCCTGCACAACAGGGCCTAATCGCCAAAAAATTACCATTGCATTCATTTGTGCATCTGCGCAATAAATATGTATTATTACATCAAAACCGTCTCTCCTGATTGAAATGAAGCTCAGCGCAAGTTCAACCAGGAAGACCGTCTCTACTCATTCATGTATTTCTATTCCCATGTTATTACTCTCTCTCCTCTCAATAAGTGACCGGGGGCGTCACTCTTCAGCTTAACCAATCACTTCGCTCTATTCCCAAGAGCCTATCATAGCGCTCCGTCAAACCTTTTAAATCTGCTCTCCCCTCTGACAGCTCTCATTCCAGGTGAATCGGCGCAACCCTCCTCCACCCCCTTTTCATCTCCTGTCCCTCTGAATCCAGGGTCAAGCTAAACCCCTCCTCTTCAGACCGACCCAACTATCCATTCACCACCACCAGTGTCTAGACCCCAGGGGGGTTTCATCGGATCGGTTCTACCCTCCCGAATGATACTTCCTGCACAACGGGGCCTAATCGCCAAAATTACCATTGCATTCATTTGTGCATCTGCGCAATAAATATGTATTCTTACATCAAAACCGTCTCTCCTGATTGAACTATAGCAGTACAGCATTTCAATTTACATTCCTGCATTACCTGCACAATAGTCTTGCATCATTCTCTTTTTATTTCTACTCTGTTTCTTCTTGCACTATTTTTATAGTTTTTTTATTTGTTTTATGTCTTATATATTTATGTTTCATAACTACACTGTAGCTCTGCATATGACAATAAACCCCTTTGAACTTTGATATCTCCATTTGGAAAACAATCTCTTATCCTGAGTGTAATTGTCTGAGAGGCAAAGTGAAGTTCGAGGACGATGTTATCGCACCGGCAAACCTTCCTGAATTAAATTGAATTGTCTAGAAGCCAGCAGAGTGATGTAGTGTGTGATTATGGAGATGGAGAGTGTGTGTGTGTGTGAGTGTGTGTGTGCGTGTGCGTGTGCGTGTGCGTGTGCGTGTGTGTGTGTGTGTGTCACCTGAATGAGAGCCAGGTTACAGAGCACCATCCTCCACTGCTGCTCAGCCTCGTCCAGCTGCCCTGTGTTCGCCTGCGGATACAAACATGTTCACGTAATCACAAGTTCACCTTGCACATTTAACTCTCACTACTTCAACATCATAGCACAATTACCCTGACAAATGCCCTGATTGGTCGAGAGTGTAAATCGCAATTATCACTGAGGATGTGATCGGGGGGTTTCTCGCTGAGGATGAAATATTACCTATAGATGCGGAAGTTACATCACTTTTTTAATCTTTTGGGAAGGTGTTTATTGTAAATAGCACGCCCCTTCTCAAGGACATTTTGCGTAACATGTCTACGTCATTTTGACAGTGACTCATTTTCCTTTCCCTTTTGTTAAATTTCAAAGCCAGCAATATTAGACTCTGACAGTAAGCGCTCTGAAAGACAGGTGACATATTATTAAGAGTGAGATAAGGAAGGTGAGATGAAATTATTGGAGCAAAGAATTGGAAGCACAATGAGTAAAGACACTGAAGACTTATTGGAAGTTACAGACAGAGAAAGGAAATGTTCCTTCTTAGACTTAATGGAGACATATCCAAAATATGTCTCGTTTTAGGCACTACCTGCTTCTTTCTCTAGCATTTAGTGACACAGCATCTGCTCGAACAAACTATGAAGTCTCCTGAACTGCTCTTTTTACCAAGAGAAAGCCGGTAATGCAACGTTCCATCAGCAAAACTTAACCAGTTATGTTTCTTGCAGAGAAGCAGGCTCGACAAAGGCCTCTGACTCATGGCATGTTTAGTCCCATCGTTATCTGAAGGTTTACTATCTTGCTTTATGCATATTCAGAAGTAAGAAGGGGGTCATCTCTTAACGCTGCCAATGGAGATCCGTAGAAAACAGGCGCCATCTTATCTCTATATACTATGCTGACCAAACCCCGAGGTCAAATGCCTGCTGTCAGAATTAGAGATTTAATAGGAGGACGCTTGTCAAATAATTGTCTATTAGAAGGGGTGGGTCAAATGCCACATCTCATGTGAAACTGAAAGTCAACTGTTGACTTATCTACTGTACATCGACTATTTAACTTACATACGTAACTTAATTGACGTAACAAACGTAATCATTTCAAACCAATCACAATGTTTTCCTAAACATAGCCAAGTTGCTTTGTTGCCTCGACATAACCAAGTCGTTTTTTTTTATTCACAACGTTATTCAAGTGTTTTGAACAGCGACCAAATACATTTGAAAAGATTGGAATAAAAACCGGCAATTAAATTAAGTAAGAAAACAACATTATCTTACGGGAAGTCAATGTCATTAAATCAACAAGGACTCTCTTTGTTTCAAAACTAAAATGCAAAATGACGAAATGTGCATGTATTGAATATGATAGTTTAGTTTTGCATTTGAAACCGTTGTTATCATCTCCTCCTGCGTGCCGGTGTGTGTTCTGTTCGTGTGTGTGAGTGTTTTTCCTCTCACTGCTGTTGACAGTCTGGATGCCAATGTCATCTCCAGATTCCCCTTCAGCCCGACCAGCGCCGGCACCAAGATAAACACCTCGGAGATCTCCCTGAACACCTCCCAGTGCTGAAAGACACCACCGGGGACTTTTAGTGCACTTCCTGTTCCATATGAGCTTGTTTAAATACGTCACAGTGAAACTAAGCTGAAGAAATATTCTTTAATATATTCTTTAAACCTGAATCAATGTTTCTAGTACAATACAGTTTTGCTGGTGACACACACCACAATGAACCTTCCAAGACAAACTATTTTGTCAATCATTTTCAAACCCGTAGCAATGTGATTAAACATGAACACAGAATTTTTCAGTAGCTTTTTTACTGGTTTGAAGTAGGTGATGCAAAATGTATAAAAAGGCAAGTGTTTTACTCTTAATTGTTGCCTATTTAGTCTTGAATATTAATGCTATCGAGGGAAAAACAGGGGGTTTGAGACACATACTTTTTATATTATATTAAAAAAGTCCCTATCATAAATGTTCACATGATCCAAAAGGCTTAACACTCCCAAGCAGCAGTTTTAAGCAGTTCTGATTGATTCAATAACTACTTCCTAATATCTCTTATATCATTTGATCTGTCTGAGGTGTTTACACGAGGTAAGAGGTGTCTGCACAGATACAGTATAAGTCATTACATTAAATCATAAGATAGTAGGTGTTTCAAATCATATCAAACCTTAGCACAAAAAACAAAAAAAACGATGCCTTATACCAGTACAATCCGTACAGTTAGTTCTCATGCACTTTGCCACACTTTTTTCTCCTTACTTGCACTCCATCCATGACTATCCCGGCGGCCACCATACCCAGCCCGGACACCAGGTAGGGCAGCAGGATCTGGGCTGCGATGCTCCATGAGCTCTCGGACAGTAAACCGTGTGCAGAGCGGGTCAGTTTACACCTGAAGCCCCTCAGCTTCTTCCCCTGGAAACGCAGCTCCAGAGAGAGATGGGTCACCACCATGGCTGGACCCCATTACCCCATCACTGCCTATTTTGTAGTCTATAGTAAGGAAGTACAACTTTTCTGTGCCTAGAATTAGGGGTCCTGGAAAGTGGCAACGCTGACAAGACGGAGAAGTAGATTTTTCTTCTTTTTTTTTGAGTCACAGCCGATGTTTCCTTGCAGAAGTTTTATATGAAAACACAACCGGCTTGTTTTGCCCTTCAGATGTCACTCCAGCACTGATTTTCGAAATGGTGGACTAATCAGAGGAAGCTGCTTTCATCCACTTCAAATAAAACACACACACATTAAGACACTCACACACATGGGTCCACTTGACAGCAGGTTTGTGAGGCCTCTTCTGACACTCTGCTACTGACAGACCTCCACACACACATACAGACACACACACACACTACAGCCACACACACACACACACACACACACACACACACACACACACACACTTATCCCCCTCTTCATGCCTCGCTCTTCAGCAGCCGGGCGGCCGAGGTGGATCTCTGGAAGCCGGCTCTCTCTCGGGGTCTGAGGAGTTTCCAGGTCCTGTGGGATAAGGACATCCAGAAGGCCAGAAGCTTCTTCTCAGCCCTGCTGTGCTGCCAATCATTGTCCTCCTTTTCTCTCCATGCCATCTTCTCTTTCTCCTCGCCACTGTGGTAATGCTCTTGGTGTTGAGGGCTCTGAAGCTCGTTCCTCATTTTGATCAGAGGATGTCCTTCCAAGATTGTGGTAAGGGACTCTGTGATGATGGACGGTTCCCTCTGATTTCCAGATGAGTCGTGACGGCGCTCTGTGATGGATGATGCTGGTGATTCAGTTTTTCCTCTTTTCTCCTGGTGAGATCACTTCAGAGCTTACTGCAGTTTCACTCTCCCTCCTCTTCGAAAGCTCCTCCTCTCAATGTCCGCCACTAAATGGGGGTGACGCACTGAGCAGCAGCAGGTGTCGTACCTGTCATTAAAACGTGGCGATGCTGCTGCAAAGGACACAGTGTTTCCTCTGGGATTGGAGGGAGGAAAGACACACGCTACCACTTACTTTCATCCGAGTTCATTATGTCATTTGTCTGTTTTTGTCATATTCCAATATCTGCAAAGAAAACCAATACCCCTTAACACCTGTACTCTTATTAAGGTTTATAAAAGGCAGACACATACACATGAAGTACTGACACTTTGTTCTAGTTTTTGACCCCTTTGTTCACATAAACCTGTACAGAATGTATAGTAGGAACATGTCCTTATACACACACACACACACACACACACACACACACACACACACACACACACACACACACACACACACACACACACACACACACACACACACACACACACACACACACACACACACACACACACACACACACACACACACACACACACACACACACACACACACACACACACACAAGGACAGTGACTCAGCTGAAAAGTGTCCTTGAGACATGACTTGGATAGAGTGCTGCACTCTCTGCAGCTCCCCCTCCTGCCCTCTGGCTGTAATTTAAATTGTGAAGCAACAGCTGCTAAAAGACTGAGGGGCAAATGGGGGTTTATGGTGTTTGAACACATAAATTGAGAGGATTCTTTCCTCTTCTTTAAGAGCACCTGCTGTCACCTTTTAAAGAGAACTGGCAGTAAAAAAAAAACAGCTAAAGAAACAGATTGAGAGGTGATGACAGGCAGGCAGTAATGTGGGCTCTGCAGTGCTAATAACTTTGTTTTATTATCGAACCTTTCCTGGCCTTTCATGTCATGACTGCATTGGCCTCGGCTCAACTACAGTAGCTAGAGCTTTTGTCAACACACCTGAATATAAGTGATGATTCAATGCAGCAGTGAGAAGTCAATTAGATATATACAAAAAAAGATTGGATTTAACTTGTTTAATTGTGAACCTAATTTTTCATCAGTGCATAATGCAGTCTTCAATATTAAAGAAGTAAGTAATGATAAAATAATAAATTGTGTGTGTATATATTTACTAAACTTATACTTAACATCACTATGCACTTTACTACTGTTTTGCACTTCTGGTTGAATGTAAACTACATTTCGTTGTCTTAGTACTTATACTAATAAACAAAAAGTGAAATCTTAATCTAAATAAAATAATAAATTGTGTAAAATATATGACTTTTTCGGTTGTAGGACTCATTCCTGTAGCAATTTACAGCAAAGTACTATTTCATCTTATTGTATTAATAGTAAATCAGATAATTTCTAAATGCCTTGCTCTATAATGTCCCCTTTTTTACATAACGTCACCTTTTATTTAGATTTATCCCGACAGCTTCTGTCAAAGTAATTCTGAACCAACTCTTTGGCTGCTGCTGTAAATAAACACAGTAGGCTACACAGACATAGTGGTGGTTGCATACTAAGCCTAAACTAACCTGTAAATTCATGTGTATCTAAACCTTATAAATGTGTTTGTTCCCATGGGGCAGGGTCACTTTTAAAAACCTGTTAGGTCAAAGTGACCCTTAAACCCAATCCTCCACCAGCCCAATCTATTCACCTCAGAGACACATGGAGAGAGGAATACATCGATGGAAAGATATGGTTACTTTTCCAGGTATCTACTGCTAAATTATGAACCATCCAGATCTCTCAGGTCTTCTGGTCTGCTTTCTGTCTCCAGAGTCAGAACTAAACATGGAGAAGTTCATTATGCTCCAAATATCTGGAACAAACTCCCAGGAACCTGCAGGTCGGCTGCAACTCTTACTACTTTTAAATCCAGGCTGAAGGCTTTTCTTTTTGCCGCTGCTTTTAATTGATATATTCATATTTTACACTGCACTGTAACTTTTATTCATGTACTTGTGTTATTCATGTTTTATTATCTTTGCTTTTAAATGAGTGTTTTTAAATGCCATTTTATAATGTCTTTCATTTTTGTAAAGCACTTTGAATTGCCTTGTGTTGAAAGGTGCTATATAAATAAACTTGCCTTGCCTAAAATTTCGCCAATAAACCAGGATTAACAACGGAATAAAATAATTGAATCAGTCCTGCAGATCTGTATTCAGCGAGTTTTGGTGTCACTGACCTGCACCCTGTCCAGCAGCAGGCCGGCCATCACCATGCCCAGTCCAGCCAACAGGTAGACAGGAAACACCTGGAGACATATGAGCCTGGTCGACTCTCTGGAGGAACTGTGCAGCTTCTCCTCCTCCATCCTGTCAGGACAACTAGAGCTGCTTACATCCATTTCTGCTCTGATGCCAACTTTCTGTTGTCGTTCAAAGCAGACTGCTGCCAACTAGAAGTGCCTATTACTGTTTGTCTTTCTTTCTGTCACACTGCCCTGTCCTCGTCTATCTGTTTCCTGGGTCAAAGACAAATACTATCATCTCTGTTGATCACTGATATGAATTCAGGACTTATTTCCGACGAGCTACTGTATACAACTTTGTTAATCAGAATTAAGAGTTGAAATGTAATATTCATAACTGGGCTGTATTTTCATTTGTGTACTTACCTGTAACTCAGAAATGTTGTTTTAGTTACCTGAGAACAAGACCTTCGGGGAGAGGGTCCTCTTCTAAGGACCTTTCCATAAATCTCCTAAATTACGTTCCCATATGACAAAAATACATTGTCAATCAGGTTTTCAGGGAAATGTATTTTCTCCCAGATAAGATTTGTTTTTGATCTGCTAAACAAATACTGTAGATTTCAAATCTTATTCAGAGGAAATTCAACTACGGAGGAGGTCATTGATGGGTGGGACAAACAAACACAGGACATCTGGGTACCTGGGCAAACCAATAGCCTACTTAGCACCAATTTATTTTATATGTACGTATGTAACCTGCATAACATGACATCTGTATTATTTGAAAGACAAACCATGATCTCCATAACCATTTAGTTTTCTTGTTTCAATATACAACGATAACTGCTTGTTTAAAACTGTGACTGTAATCTGGGATAACATTTGTGTCCCTCGTACCCAAATAGAGAATAGAGTTGTACATAACATCATTCTTTTTTAGGACACAGGGTTTACATGTTGCTGTTTCTACAGTAGAAAATAAACTCTTAAAGATAGAAGAAAGTATGTTTAAGTTGTGAAAGATCCTTGTTAAACGAAATGCACTTTTTAAGTCGTTATTAGCAGTTCAAAAAACTATATTAAAAAAAAAAACACACTGACATAGAAAGCTTAATAAAAGAGGAATTTCTACAGCCTAAGTTTGCAGTCCTTCACCACTTGTAATACACTTAAACAACCAAATAAAGCAATGACAAGTAGTAACTGAACACACGTGCACAGTTGTGGGCTAATTAGCTTAGCGCTAACGTTAGCTAATAGGAATGCTTTGGTATTAGTAAAACATTAGCTTTAAAAAACGATTATTTCAGGAGAAGATAAAAGTTGTAGTTGTGAAGTTGTATAATGTCATTCTTATCCACTCTTCTTCATCACCTCTGATTACTTAGAAACTCTTAACAAGCAAGACAAGTAGCTAAACACACTTGCTCTGTTGTAACTAGCTTAGTGCTAACGTTAGCTAATAGGTGCTCTTTAGTACTGCCAAAACATAGCTTTAAAATGATTATTTTAACAGAAGATAGAGGGCGTAGTTGTGAAGTTGTATAAAGCCATTCTTACTCACCTCTACCACCTCAGTAATCCAGTTTATTTTTCGACCTTTAACAATGCACCAGGGAAATGACATGAAATGTTGCACTAGCTAACAGATGCTAACTTTGTGATTTGGTGATGGGCAATACAATTTTTTTTCGTGGACAAAATATAAAGTAACATTAATTTAAATTATGATATACTATGTCACAATGAGAAGTTATTTTGAAATACAAAGTTAGTAGAGTTGCGAGTTACATTTGTGTGATATTTAAAAAGTATTACATTGAATGCGTGTGGATGTAAAATACCATCTTTGATGGCAGATGTTGAGGCCTGTTATTTATTTGTTTTTCACTTCATCTGGTTGCCTGCCTACTGTATATTAGTTGAATTGTTCTTTTTGTATGCTCGTGTACAATTTGGTTATTGTCTCTTTCGCCATCTCTATACACTATTTTGAGTGTGATTAATTTGCTGAAAAGAGACAAAACACACAATGATTAAATTACTAATAGCATTGGTTTCTTATTTTCTTCACAATATCCTTATTATTTTTGGCCATACAGTCCACATTTTGGACTAGATAAATTAAAAAGTATTTGTGTCAAATGTGATGCATTATTTTCATCTCAGTAGCCTATCTCACAATAAGTGACCTCTTTCATTTGAGTCCTTAGTCAATATCAACATTTTCAAATACACCATTTAAAACATGTGTATTTCATTCCTAGAAGCCAATGAGACAAAGTGGTACATCTCCAATTATATCAACGATACAATTTCATGCAAAACACTTAAACATTACCATACAGTGACATGATATTAAAACACCTATCCTCATTTTATAGAGGTAGTTGTTTTTATTTCTTGGCACATTAGCTAGTCTGACACTTGGTTTGGGGTGAAGGTAACTACAGTATAAAGAAGAACAGAGACACAAGCTATAAATATTCACTCTACACCTCCTAGCCCCAGTTAAGGTCTCATGTTATATGTCAAAGGCTGAGTTCAAAGAGGGGCTGCCATAGATCACCGTTTGTTGTTCAGAACAAGTTTAGTCCCTGATGGCTTCGTAGACAAGGTTCAGTTGTTTATTAAGTCTTCTAACTACATTATCTGCTGTCTGTGGTTTGCAATAGCTTCATTTTTGTTTACTCTCGTGTTTGTGTGTTTGGTTTCCTATGGAGTGTTGCTGGCATTTGCTGGCAGAGGCAAGCTGTCCGTCATCTGCTGGCAGTTGGGTTCTTAACAACTTGGCTTTCGGACTGTGAACAAGGTCAATGCAAGAGGCAGGCTGAACAACACAACACAACACAAGAAGTCTCTGCTGAACGAGGTAACAGGTTTGGTGCATTTTGACACATTTTGCATGCAGAAATGATTAAATTGTTTAATATTTTAAAACGTTTGACTGTTGTTAGTGTCAAATTATTGCAGTTTTGTCTAGAAAACTGGTGATTGTAGAATTATTTTTGCATGTTCTGTTTGAAAAGCGTATGATATAGTTTTACATTGACTTCTTTGTTTGCTCAAGGGATGTTCAATTTGATGAAAATGCCCAGTTCTGGTGATAAGAGTAGGATCCAGTCCCAATTCACCAGTGGCTCCAACGACATATGCGCCAAGAGAAATGTCACGATTCGTCTTCGGGACATTTACGATCCCAAGCCTTCTCCCAAAGCCCCGGTTCGGATTCGCCCTCCAGGTCCAAGACCTCCGTCAGTGAAGGAACTCAATTTAAAGCAAAGCTCGGCAGGTGATCCTCCAACCAAGACCATCATGAGGAGACGAGCTCAGTCTCTTCCTTCCTCTGCAGAAAGGAAAAAGGAACTTCGAAGCTTGCAGGTACGCTTTGTTGACTCTTTGGGCCTTGAGTTAGAGGATGTTAAAGTCTTCAAAGTTCAAGAGGAGCCCCTGATACCCCAACATGTCATGTTCAGACTACTGATGAGCTCAGAGCTGGCTTTCGGGAAGTCATTAGAGCTTTCTCTGCCTTACTTCAAACCTTGTTTCCCTGAAGATATGAGGACTCACGCTGACTTTTATAACCGTCTTTGCTCTCAGAGTGTGTGTCTGGAGCAGGTTTCATGTTCAGAGCAGGGGATAACAGGCACTATACAAGTAATTAATTTAGCTTATGAGAAGGAAGTCACAGTGCAATACTCTTTCACCAACTGGAGAACACACACAGACACAACGGCATCCTGGGTGTCAAGCGGGAACCATGAGAAACACAAAGCTCCAGAAAACGATATCTTCAGATTTCGTCTGCCTGTCCCACCCTTTATTTTGCAGCCAGGAGCCATGTTAGAATTTGCCATCTGCTACCGTGTTAAAGGACGTAATCATTGGGACAATAACAATGGACATAATTACAAACTGTCCTGCCACAGTTACAACGTGACTGTGCCGAGGGAGTGTGAAGACAGCATGCTGCATTTCACCTGAACATCCACATGGTGGTGCTGTTACACCTGCACATAAATACTATGGGGGAGCGAACAAGCAAAACAACTTTACAGTAACTACGTTTCCCTTTACTTATAACAAGCAGAGGTGAAATGTAATTTTGAAAATGTAATACAGCTTTTCAGTACTTTTCCACTTTATAATGTATTTTTATTTCACTATATTTCAGAGGCATATATTGTACTTTCTCTACATTATCAGTGAACAACTGTGATTACATTTCAGATTAACATGTATCGTCAGTTTAAACAACAATGTAACTACAGTAAGTGCGTAACAACCTAATGTATAACACAGCTTCAATTATGCTTACATCTTATATTGTATAATAATAATAATAATACACTGACCTGTTGCATAATACTTGTAATAAAGTATTGTGTTTACTTTAGCCAAGGATTTAGTACAATGTTCTATCCATGATCAACTTTAATTGACAATAGTAGTTGCAGAGGGTCATTAGGTGACATTTTAATATACTTCTAAAAGTAATTACTTAAGGCTTGGTATTTTACTTTTTTTTTTTTTAAATGCATCTACAAGAAAGTTAACAGTGGTTTTACGATCAAGTAAATGCTATTCTTAATTACAAATCTGCATCTTATAGATTATTGAAGTTTGATATAATACATTGGTGTTCATAAAGTGAAATATAAAAACTTGTCAGCTTCACTACATGTTTGTACTTCAGCCATAGGGGTGTGCCAACAAGTCATGCATTTAGCACTTCCACTATAGGCAAAAAATACCACTAAACTGGGGACTGGGTAATATTTAGAGAAATTAACTCTTTTATAATCATCAAAGATTTAATTATTAAACCATTCATTTACAGGAAAAATAAAGAAATTCTAACATCATTATGAAAGGGAACCACAATGTTGCACAAGTTCCCAAAATGTAGCTCAAAAGCAACACCCTTTTGGTTTATAACGCTGGCTTTCTGATTACATTTGAAAATCTCCAGCCGGAGCCGAGCTAACCCCTTTATAAAAATGAAAGTATTTATTTTCTCCTTCTGGGCTTTTATTCAGATTAAATCTCTGCCACCTTTGAGAATCTGCTCACTCTGCGCTTCTGGTGACCCAATTTAATAATAGACAGTGTTACTATTGTTGTATCTGAATAGCAAATGTTCTCCAGGTGACAAAACCAATTTTTTCATACATAGAAAAAACATGAGCTTTGTAGTAACTGTATTCTCTGCTATGATGAACATGGCTTGACCCCATTCTTCTGGAGCTGGTTTTGTTTTTGGAGGATTACAGTGTTTGCTCCTCTGTTACACTGCGACCCGCTCCCTCAGATCCCCGACAGCTCTGACCTTTCACCAAAAAAGTTTCCACTGACATGAGAGGCCAGATTCCTTTTGACTTTTTGGCAGGCAGCAGTGTTTGGCTCACGGGAGGACATTCTTCCAGTAGCATGCCGCAGCTGGATGGCATGCTTTAAACATGATCGCAGCTTTCTGAACAGCCAAAACATTACTGAGCATGACGAGACTCTTAAAAATAATCTGTGAAAAGGCAAGCACAGAGGTTGAACATTGTTGAAATGTTTGAAATAAACACGTATGTATCTAAATGAAGCTATATGCTTATCAGACCAATGAGTTGTAAGATTTAAATTATGCATAATGGCTATTTAATTCTATTGGCTTTTATTTTGTAACATTGACAGAAACTAAAGAAGATACATAATGTGGCTTTATTGTAATGGTATAGTGTTCAATTTTGATGCACCAGATGGCAGTACTGCTCAAATATAAGTTCCTACAGTAACTCGACTTGAGTCACAATGATTGGAGTCCACATCCTTTGCTCATATGAAAACCATAAAGCAGATTCAGGCAGCAGAAGTATAGATTCACACTTAAAGTATTAGCATACAGAACAGTACAGCTTACAGAGAAGAAATACAATCTGCAATAAACACTATATCAGGGGTGTCAAACTCAAGGCCCAAATCTGGCCCGTGACTTCATTTGATGTGGCCCCGCAAGAGCTTGCAAAGAATATAATACGTTTATTATACGGTTAAATGCCGCTTTACAGAAGCAGGTTGCCCATAAACTACATGTCCCACAACGCATCTCGTTTTGTGGCATGCGCACTGAAGAGACTTGCAATTATTTGCACTGGACTTCTGCTTTCAGACGTAGTTAATTACTAAGTTATTATCTTATCCAATAATAATCAAATTCAGAGGCAATAATGTAATATAATACATTATTTTATATATATATTATATACTTTATATAGTTACAACCGGCCCTTTGAGTGCAACCATAATGCTAATGTGGCCCGAGATGAAATTGAGTTTGACATCCCTGCACTATATGCTTCAAATTTCAGAAACATAACAATAATATGGTAACGTCTTTTGTTTCAGTATCTGTAAGGGAATACCGTTTTTTAAATGACATAATCCCATTACATGTAACTCTCTTCCTGGTCACAGCCACAACAAGAACTGTCGACGTGTCCTTTGTCCATTGTTTGTCCTGAACCTGTGACAGTGGACAAACATCCCCTCTTTGTGCCGGGCTGACTGTGTGTCATCGCTCTGGTACAGATCTCGTTTGTTAGGATGTTCCTCACTAACGGAGATGGCTGTCATGTCAGTGTGTTGTTGGCTCACACACCCATTCTCATGCCTGCAGCGCTCTGCCTTTATTTGGGGCTTTCATCTCCAGCTACTTGCCGGTAGTTACATAACAGGCCTCCATATTAAGAGCCCACATGATGCTGAGGCTGCCGTTTGCTCGGGGGACTGGCCTGGATTGAAATATAAAAAATGATGCATCATTATTATGATCACAAGCTACATGTTTAAAGAGGACATATTCTGCTAATTCTCAGGATCATATTTGTATTATGTGTCTCTCCTGGGACATGTCTCATTGCTTTAATGTTCAAAAAGCTCTTTATTTTTCTCATACAGCCTGTGCTGCAGCACCTCTTTTCACCCTCTGTCTGAAACCAGAGCCCAGTCTGCTCTGATTGGTTAGCTGGCCGGCTCTGTTGTGATTGGTCAACTGCCTAGAGATTAGCCTATATGTACAATGGTCCAATAGAAGCGCGAGTGTCACATGGTGATGTTACTATGTTCCTGAAGTAACTCCCTGTGGAGGGAACACAGGGATTTGAGCCTTTGCAGACCATTTACATGCACTAAAACCTATAGAACACACTACAGGAAATGGAAAACCCCAAAAAGCAGAATAGGGCCTTTTTTAAAACACGATCGTGGCCTATGTGTTGTGGAATAAAATAACCGTGTAATATTTGTTCAGTTTGCCTGAAGTTCATGAGTGATATCATAATGATATTTCCCTTCATGTCACATCACTCTTGGTCAAGGTCACATCAATTTAATTGATAATAGCATTACAAGTTATTGTAGCACACTAGCATTAGTGCTGTAAAAAAAAGAGATGTTTTTTTTCCTTCATCATACAAACATAATAAAAGCTTTTTATGTGGCATTAAAAACATCTTAAGATTTAATTTGGTGAAACCTTGCAGAAACCTTTTCCATCACAATCAATCGAATATATATAAATATATAAAATGACTTACTACTACTACCGAAATACAAATATAGTAATTGGAAAAATGTTAAAGCATTCATACTTGTATATGAGGTTCCTACTAGAATATTTTCTAAAAAAAAAACTGAAGCATTGACTTTAATGAAATGTATTATGTCAACAGATTTTACATAACTGTATTAGGTTAGTTGAAAGCAACCTATTTAAACTTCAGTGCAGGAATATATGGAAAAAAAGCCAATGATCCAAAGTGTGACGCCATGTATAATCCAAAGGCTACATTTGAACCAGAAAACCATCACGCGTACAGTTGGCAAAATCTCCTGAACATATGTTAATCGTGCGTGTGTGTCCGAATTTGCTCAAGGTAGCAAAACCTTTTTCTCACACATAGAGAAGGCTGAACGACCTGCATTCAACATGAACTTTGTAGTAACTGTATTCTCTGCTATGATGAACATGGCTTGACCCCATTCTTCTGGAGCTGGTTTTGTTTTTGGAGTAGGATTTTATACTATATATTTGTATCACTATGAGGGAATTCAAGTCCATCTTAAAGGACAGAGAACAAGAATCCATTGGTCGATGTGATTGCTCTTATATCCCATAATTGAAGTCGTTGATTGATGATGTGTCGCCATGTATAATCCAAAGGCTACATTTGGCTAAGGCTAAATTTGAACCAGAAAACCATCACGCGTACAGTTGGCAAAATATCCTCAACATATGTTGTGTGTGTGTGTGTGTGTGTGTGTGTGTGTGTGTGTGTGTGTGTGTGTGTGTGTGTGTGTGTGTGTGTGTGTGTGTGTTTACCGTTGGCCCACACCAGCTAAGGGACACCCGGAAGTCAGGATATCCCTCAGGAGTCTCCCTGGTTTCTCCCAAGCTGCTCCACAGGTTTATTATCCGCCATTTCTCTGGACCAGTAGCTGCTCGTCTTCTTTACTCCTGACAGCGAGCGGTCCTGGACCAAAGCGTCATTTTAACTGGAGCCCCCATCTGTTCCTCCATGGAGCCAGTGACTCACATGTTGATGTCAGGAAAGAAATCTGAACATCTGAACGTGCCTGATGGAGATGTCACCATGCCAGGGTTGTAAGTCCTTTTTTTCCCATATTTAATATCAGGTAAAAGGTTTCTATCTTTTGAAATAGGCTTTTTAATGATGTGGATGTGACACAACAGTGAGTCAGATCCATTGATTGTTTCTTTCCTTTTTCTTCCTCCACTGCAGCTTTTAAGATCTCATTGCAAATTGGACAAATGCTGTCAGGTTGACTTTCTTTTCATGAGTTGATTTAACCTAACTAACCTGCTTAATGCCCAACAAAGGATGCCTGTTCTCATTTGTCAGAGAGAAATACACAGCAGGTCAATAACCTAATTGCTGCTTAATGTCATGCAACAAAGTAATAATCACAACTGTGTCATCCGCTTGCTTAAGTATGACATATGATAGGATAAATCTGAAGGGATTATGACCTTTTTATGATGTGTAGTCGGCAAGTATCACCCTAATAATGATTTTTTTTTTTAATATCACATGTTTCTGTTTTGCCATGATATTAAAGGTGACATACTATAATGATTTTCTGGTTCATACTTGTATATGAGGTTCCTACTAGAATATTTTCTAAAAAAAAACTGAAGCATTGACTTTAATGAAATGTATTATGTCAACAGATTTTACATAACTGTATTAGGTTAGTTGAAAGCAACCTATTTAAACTTCAGTGCAGGAATATATGGAAAAAAAGCCAATGATCCAAAGTGTGACGCCATGTATAATCCAAAGGCTACATTTGAACCAGAAAACCATCACGCGTACAGTTGGCAAAATCTCCTGAACATATGTTAATCGTGCGTGTGTGTTCGAATTTGCTCAAGGTAGCAAAACCTTTTTCTCACACATAGAGAAGGCTGAACGACCTGCATTCAACATGAACTTTGTAGTAACTGTATTCTCTGCTATGATGAACATGGCTTGACCCCATTCTTCTGGAGCTGGTTTTGTTTTTGGAGGATTTTATACTATATATTTGTATCACTATGAGGGAATTCAAGTCCATCTTAAAGGACAGAGAACAAGAATCCATTGGTCGATGGGATTGCTCCTATATCCCATAATTGAAGTTGTTGATTGATGATGTGACGCCATGTATAATCCAAAGGCTACATTTGGCTAAGGCTAAATTTGAACCAGAAAACCATCACGCGTACAGTTGGCAAAATATCCTCAACATATGTTGTGTGTGTGTGTGTGTGTGTGTGTGTGTGTGTGTGTGTGTGTGTGTGTGTTTTCCGTTGGCCCACACCAGCTAAGGGACACCCGGAAGTCAGGATTACCCTCAGGAGTCTCCCTGGTTTCTCCCAAGCTGCTCCACAGGTTTATTATCCGCCATTTCTCTGGACCAGTAGCTGCTCGTCTTCTTTACTCCTGACAGCGAGCGGTCCTGGACCAAAGTGTCATTTTAACTGGAGCCCCCATCTGTTCCTCCATGGAGCCAGTGACTCACATGTTGATGTCAGGAAAGAAATCTGAACATCTGAACGTGCCTGATGGAGATGTCACCATGCCAGGGTTGTAAGTCCTTTTTTTCCCATATTTAATATCAGGTAAAAGGTTTCTATCTTTTGAAATAGGCTTTTTAATGATGTGGATGTGACACAACAGTGAGTCAGATCCATTTATTGTTTCTTTCCTTTTTCTTCCTCCACTGCAGCTTTTAAGATCTCATTGCAAATTGGACAAATGCTGTCAGGTTGACTCTCTTTTCATGAGTTGATTTAACCTAACTAACCTGCTTAATGCTCAACAAAGGATGCCTGTTCTCATTTGTCAGAGAGAAATACACAGCAGGTCAATAACCTAATTGCTGCTTAATGTCATGCAACAAAGTAATAATCACAACTGTGTCATCCGCTTGCTTAAGTATGACATATGATAGGATAAATCTGAAGGGATTATGACCTTTTTATGATGTGTAGTCGGCAAGTATCACCCTAATAATGATTTTTTTTTTTTTAAATATCACACGTTTCTGTTTTGCCATGATATTAAAGGTGACATACTATAATGATTTTCTGGTTCATACTTGTATATGAGGTTCCTACTAGAATATTTTCACAAGCTTTAATGTTGAAAAAACACTTTATTCGTCTCAAACTGTATGTCTGAATATACCTGTATTCCCCATCTGTCTGAAATGCTTCGTTTTAATGTAATTTTTTCAAGCCACTCCTTACAAAAAATCCAAGTTTGCTTTGATCGGCTGCCAAGAGAAATAAGACACAACGTAGTTTTCAAGACGTTTGGGGGAGATACTCCAATAGAGGGCGGTATATTCTAAAAAGCCTATATGTGACGTAGGAAAGTGATCCAAATCTGAATGGCTTGTTGAATTGCATGTTTTCAGACCTGCAGTCCCAAAAGAAACCAGAACTGTCATCTTATTTCACAGTTTGTGGGTTGGTACAGTAGTTTCTCCAGATTCCCAAATGTATGCTCACAAACACTGAAAATCATCGTGCTTTTGATTAAAGAGTGGAAACCGCTTCACAGATCTTATCTATCCAGGTCAAATTGATCACTATATGCGGCTGATTATTAAAACTGTTTGTTTAAATCATGGTTTCTCATGCCGATTATCACCAATTTGTCTTTTGTATATTTAATACGTGCCTTTTCCCCTCAACAAGAGCCCACTTGGTTTGAGGCGTTGCTGATTTTTGTACGGCTTTAAGATCACATCAAAATAAGTTTTGCTAATTTCCGATGGGTTGTTTTTTGGTAAATTACTTTTTCCCCCCGTCATGATTTTAACACTAGAACCACCAACGGGTCAATTTTACCCGCAGCTGTTTTTTGATTGCATGTAACTTTTTTTCAATAAAATATTCAAGTCTCCCAGTCCGTGACTTTTCCTGAAAGTGTGTTATGTAGCACCCTCAGTTGTTAAAAATTGGTATACAGCGACCTCTGGCGGTTCTAGTGTTAATGTGAACACAGCACCAGCCTCAGGTAGAGAGCTGTAAAGCAGACGGGTTATTTAAAGGCAATAAAGTGTATGGATAATATAAGGACTGTAGTTTTAAAGATGTTTCCCAAATGTTTTAATATGTGAAGAGACCCTATAGGCAAATAGTTGAATAGCATTTTGAATGGGAAAGATGCTGTCAATAAAGGCAGTTTCAACAGTACATCCCTTTTAAAAAGTTTTAAAAAACACCATAATCCCACAAATATTCACCACACAAGACGGAGAGTTTGTTAGAAATTGAAAACCTGTATTGTGCAGACAATAAATAGTGCTTACAAAGGGAATTTTGTCTTTCACACAGACAAGGTTTCTGTTTACACCGTTGATATGAAACGCATCACGATCTGAATCAGTGGGACTCACACACATCTCTCGGGTGTGACTACTGAAACTGGAGCGGGACTGGGAGACACGACTCTGTCACATGCACATCCCCCCCTTTGTGTGGCATCAAAAAGAACGTCTTTCAAAAGTTTACAAAAAGAAGTCTCTGCTTGTCTATGGCGAACGCCTCGCTCCTCTGACAACATGGAGGACGGGTTCAGGAGGTTTTTTCTTCCGAGCAGAAATCCCCGTGTACCGGCAGCTCCGTTTCTAGAGACATAGCCTCCAAAGTTGGCTGGAAACGAATCCCAGGATCGCCCACTAACTGCGGGCCGGGCGCTGGAAGACTGCATCTCCACTGACAGAACCACACATCAGCAACTCTTCACAGAAGAAACCTTGCTATGGCCGGTGAAATCTGCAAAAGAAGAGGGTAAAAAGTGTGAGTGCGAGGATGAAATATTCACACAGTAAGGCTTCATTAATCAAAAGGTCTATTAATAGCACAGCGGACAGTGCAGCCAATGGCCTTAAGTCAAAAAATGGGTCCTGCGTAAGCACAACCGAGGCTAATTCAGGTTTTTTTTCTTTTTTTTTAAGCTAGTGACACTTTTGACGAAGGCAAAACGCAAGCTAAATATATCCGGACATTCATTATAGTTGAGAGGTGGTGCAACTCTTGTCTCAAGGGGCCTGGTGCCAGCTAAATTTAAGCCCTACTCTGCACTCATTGATGTGAAACTTGTAAAATGCACCTGTGTGTCATTTCACAAAGTCACAGCGACCCTTTTAGACATCAGCCACTAACAATAAAGCCAGAAAAGAGAAGAAAAGGACAGTAATAACCCACCTCGTCAGATGCTTGCTCGAGGTGTGGACTTCCATCTCGGTACTTTTGAACTCGTTCAGCTCTTTTCGTATCGCCGCCTGCAAAACAAAAGCAACATGAAGCGTGAGCACAGGGGGGAGAAGAACTATGATGCTTTATTAAAGTAAAAGAAGAACAGTTTGGTCTTAATGGGGCCCTAAAATGCTCCTTTCAGGTTCATATTAGTGTTTTGTGTCTCTACTGTGACATGTCTCCATGCTTTAATGTTCAAAAAGCTCTTTATTTTTCTCATACTGCCTGTGCTGCAGCACCTCTTTTCACCCTCTGTCTGAAACCAGAGCCCAGTCTGCTCTGATTGGTCAGCTGGCTGGCTCTGTTGTGATTGGTCAACCGCTTAGAGATGTACCGCCCCTTAGCCTATCACTTACAATGTGTTGGAGTGCTAGCCAATAGAAGCGCGAGTGTAACGTATTGATGTCACAATGTTATTATTATCAGAACACATACATGTAAATTTTAGCATTGGTAGTTTGTCAGTGTGGAGACAATTTTAGATAAAATATTGGGTTGAAAGGTAGTAAAGTACTGTCATGTCATATAAGCACATCATGTAATTTTATATGTAAACATGTAACTATGAGTGTTAATAAATGTAGTGGGGTAGAAGTATAAAGTAGCATTAAATGGAAATACTCAAGTAAAGGACAATTATGTCAAATAATACGTAAGAATGGTCTTTGAGTAAATGTACTTTACTGTACAACACTGAGCACAGGTGTTTCCCTTCAAACAGACGTGATATCACTCAGGTGGTGAAGCTCACATGGGACTGGAGAAGCATCTGTTGTTTAGGTGCAAATTATGTTAGCTTTAATGGGTTTAACGTCAAAGACAAGGTGGTGGTGGAGGTTTTATAGAAAGGGTTTCTGCAGGGTTGTCCAACTTAAATCTAAGAGGTTTTAAGACTTTTTTTATAACCATATTGGAAGCAATTTAATACTTGTTTTATGATCATTTTAACATATATGTGAGATCCTGAGCACATATGATTATAAAACCAACTAGCTTATTTTGGCAGTACCTGTGCCTCACACTAGGTGGCACTGTGAGGCCCACTGTTAACATTTGTTTTGTATTATTATATGGTTTTATTGTCATATGCACAAAGCTACAGTGTAGAATTGGCAATGAAAATCTTATGACCTGAGCTCCTCCAACAATGCAACATATATAATAAAATAAAAAAATACAAAATGTCTATATACAGAGATGCATAATAAGACTTCTTATGACCTGCAGAGACGCTGACACAGGTACACTTCACAAACAAACCAAAAAGTCAGGATATGGACCCTGAATATACATTTTGTACTACTTTTAATATCTAAAAGGCTTTGTTTCTTACCTTGTCAGAGGCGGACAGGCGGGTCCAGGGTTTGTCAGCCCGCCTGTCGTAGTCCTGAGCTTTTGCCACTTCCACATAGTCGCTGAATCGGATCAGGATCTTCCTGTCCCGCAGCTCGTCTACTGTGGGTCTCTGGTTCAGCTGGAAGACAAAGGAACATGTCAGGTCATCATTATCTTATCAAAGCAAACGGGCAGAAACGAGACTGGGCTGGGCAATATCATTGTAATGTAAACTATCTGTAGGTATTTCAATCTTTTGGTCGACTTTTAAAGGCGTTACATTTGGCTCGGTGAAGCTTGGAATTCTTTTTATAGACCAACCGATAATCAATTACTTTTTTTGTTATAATTAAGTTGCGATTAATTGCCTTTTTCCACTTATTATTTACTTTAGACATTGCAAAGCCCCCTTAGACGATCATTTGTGTGAGTCATTTCTCATATTGGGCTTTATACAGTAAATAAACATGGTTGAATTTGACATTAAAAAAATTCTGATCGGGTAAATATTTTGTCAATATCAATCAATATCAATCAATATCAAGTCTACAATATTATCAAAATATCCATATTGAGATAATTGGTCAATGAGATTGTGAACTAAGATTTATTTCATAATGCCCAGCCTTACAAAGAGATTGGTGGTAGAAATTACATATTAAAAAACAGCAGAAGCAGGTTGGGTATGAAGCGTCTGTTTTGTTGCCTTAATGTGAGATTAAATAGAAATGTAATGTCCGTGCCGCTGCTCACCTTTCTGTTGAGCCGCTGTTTGATTTCTCTCCTCTCCTCCTGCTCTGTCTGGTCATTTCTTTCTGTTGACGCAAAAAAAAAGACAAATATTATAACCAAAAGTCAGAAGAAAATGAGTTAATTAAATCAATACACAATCCCCAATGGTTATTTAAAGAGACTAGACAGTAGATGAAGTCTGCACAGATAATGTGTGTGACTCTTCTCATCAATACTCAGAGTGAAGGAGTGCTGAGGACAGAACTGACCTCAGATCAGTGCTGAATGTTTGTTAGAGAGCGGGTGGATTACAGCTTCTATAGAGTGGTGCAGGAATGGGTCCTTAAACCAGGAAATTAGGTACAACTTCTGGTTCCCTCGTCAACATGTTTTTAGATGCCTGAAATAAGGTCTGTGGTTTAAACAAATGTAAGAATTTGTAATGTCTTGTTCTACCCCTGGTATGAACTGGTGAAATTCCAGAGATTCTCGGTATATCATAAAAAAACGGCCGTTGCTAACAAGTGACAAAAGAAACTACTTAACGTCATCACGCTGAACATTAGCCACCTTTAGCTTAGCGGTTGTGACGTGAAGTCATGTGACCGTAGTTTGTAGCTTTTTCGAGACTGCAATTATGCTTGAAAAAAGTGGTGTTAATATGTGGAGATTATTCTGCTGAAGTAAACATGTACACATCACACACTTTTGTTTACCACAGAGCTTAATTTGTGCAATTTTCTGAAATCCAATGGACAAAATCTCATTGTTTTTTGTGGAGGGAGCCCTTGCGATGCTAACTTCGGAGTCAGCCTACAAATACATAGTCGCTGCATCACTCTATAGGATTTATCTGTATTAGATACAGCAGAAAGATCACTAGAGGCCACTTCACTTATTCTTAATCGCTCTCTTGTTTTCATTCCTGTAAACATGTTGATCTTGTTCGTTAGCTTTAAACGAGTCTGGCACCAAATGATGAGCATATTTTTAATGAAGGTGTTTCTGGTGAGGACACTGAGTGAATGCATGTGTCACTCAGTCAGTTCAGCCTGAACACATGTCGCTGTGCAGAGACGCTGAGAGACGGACAGCTGAGATCACACCTGGCTCAGATCCTTCATTCCTCACACGGCTGTTTCATTATAGTTCTGTATCAGGAACTAGATGCTCCTTAGATCACTTTTTAATTTATCTGTTTTGTTATTTTCTCTTCATAGCATTTTGAAGCACCTTGAGATTACGTTTTTAAAGTGTGTTATGAAATGTATTAGGACAGATCGACTGCTTTCATAGTTAGAAGTGTTACGATCTGCCACCTCCTGACACAAGTGGAGCTTTTCTCCTGAATACAACAGTATGACTAAGAATGATTAAAGACTTTAGATCTCAAATGATTAGTCGATTATCAGAAAAAGGTTTGTCATATTTGATAAATGTTGTCGTTTTTCAAACAGAAAAAGTGGAAATAGTGAACATGTATTACATATTCTCTCATTTCAGCTTCAATATGAGAATATTGTGTGCTTTTCTTTGTCATAATATCAATAAAAAGTTAATTATCTTTGGTATTTGGACTTTAGGTCGTCATTTGAAGACGTAGAGGACATTTCTTTGTTTTGATTAAATACAAAATATTAAAAGAACTTACAACTTGGACTACAGTCAAGTACCTACCAAGTTTGATAACAGTAGAGGACAATGATTTGGGGGATTTGTGGTTAAAAATTGATAGTTTTTGAATATTTTTCTTGCAAATATATAAGAAAATCATTTTAGTGATAATTAATCTGCTGATATTTCTTAATTGATTCATACATTTAGAAAATACAAATTAAACTCACAATCAAAGTAATGATATGGAGATCTAACTGCTCTTGTGTTGTTGTTGTTGTTGTTTTTTTTCATTAAAACTTCTTAAACAAAAGCAGTGGACATCCATTCAGCCCCCATCACAATAGTCACTAAAAGATATTAAAGTGTCACCATGAACGGAGAAACGTCCACATCAAGTAAAAATCATGCCCACGTTTTCAAAATAAAAGCATATATTTTGGACATAAACACACGTATTTTTCAAAATAAACACACACAAGACGTCCCATTACGAGATGTGTACACAAACAGACAATTGTGCTGTCATGGGAGAAAAACGTAATGATAGTAATTGTTGGATAATGACATATAAAGCTCCATCTCTTACGCTTTAAGATGTTCCGGCTCTCCAGTTCCTCCACGGCCGGCCTCTGGCTCAGTCTCCTGCGGAAGAACACCAGAATTACGTTCTGGACCATCTCTCCCTCCTGGACCTCCTGTATCCAACACCCCCTCCTCGGCACAAAGTCCTTTCCCCGACTAATACTAAAAGCACTTCGGGAACTTAACCCGCTGTCCAGAGCACCAAATCCCGCACATCCAAAGCGCAAACACCGCGTCCCACCTGGAGTCCAAACCAGTTCTGCTATAATGACATTTAAAACTCCACATCGGGAAATAAAAGTCCGGATGCGCGTTTAATATCGCGCCGCAGACAGAGCCAGTTTGGTGAAGAACAGAGGAAGAGTTTCCCTCGGTTGCGGAGTTTAGATAAAGAGGAGTGATGTAGTCCCGGTGGAGAGTGGAGGATGCTGCGCTGAGCGAAGAGGAGCGGTGAGTGGCGCGGGGAGAACCGCCTGCCTGCTTTAAACACCATGAGCAACACACTCATGTGAGGGGGAGGGACTGAGAGGGAGATCCCGGTGCGCGCGCGCACACACACACACACACACACACACACACACACACACACACACACACACACACACACACACACACACACACACACACACACACACACACACACACACACAACACACACACACACACACACACACACACACACACCACACACACACACACACACACACACACACACACACACACACACACACACACACACACACACACACACACACACACACACACACACACACACACACACACACACACACACACACACACACACACACACACACACACACACACACACACACACACACACACACACACACACACACACACACACACACACACACACACACACACACACACACACACACACACACACACACGGCCTGTACTACGAAGCCGGATTTTCCTAACCTGGATATGTTTGAGTTAGCCGGTTGGCCCAATCCAAAACATACGCGCTCTCGCTAAACTGTACTACAACGCTGGTTATCAAGTGGATCGCTCAAGCCAGCCGTGTCCTATCTAGTTAGGTGCGCGTACACATGTGGTATTTGGAGCATTCGACCAATCACAAACACGGACAAGCGTACTGACAGCGCAGCGTCATACTTCCTGAATGAAAAGTGAACTTTAATATTAGTCAAATATGAAGAAGTTAAACTTTAAACATCCATGACTTAAACACTTTATCCAGGATAAAAGCCACATAGCTGCACCTGCAAGGTGAATACAGCTGGTAAAAGAAAAAGCGTTTGAATGCGTACATTAACAGGTTTATAATATCACCGCCCCGTCCAAGACACGATCTGACTTTAATTACATTTGACTCGAGTGTTTCGTCAACTTAATGTGTTGCTTAAAATAATACTTCTGCATACAGTATGTGACACTGTGAGTGTTGCACGGCCAGATACGGCTCAAGAAGCTGACTCAAATAAGGAAATATATGATACATTATGATGTGATATGATATGAATGATAATGGGACACATCTACGTCTGCACTCACAGTGCCGCGGACTGTACTTAATGTTACTCTGATCCGGTTACTTATGTCGTGGCAGATATTTAAGTAAGCTTTCTTAACGCTCATGTTATAATAGTCAGATTGTTCTGAAGATGAGAGGGGATATTCTATTAATTTTCACGTTCACACAGTCAGTTGATTTTGGCCGGCCGTCTTTCCTGCAACGGCAGTTTTTCTGTATTTCCTCTATCCTGTAATATGAATTGATCGCTTTAAACTCCGCACACGGAGCTCTGATTGGTCAGCAGGCGGGGCTTTCACTGAGTTGATCTCTTAGCCTGCAACCTAACCTGCTCCGGAGCAGGTTTGCCGCTCAGCATAAGTTACCATGGAAATCTAGCCTGCTAAAAAGAGAACCAGCGTCGTAGGACCGGAAAGCCCGAGATTTCCCTGAAGTTAGCCAGCTAAGCGAAAATCCAGCTTCGTAGTACAGGCCTCTGGTGCAGCAAAGGAGAGCTGTGTTGATTCAACGCTGTTTTATCAGACAACACAGGAAGGTTGATGGTAGTTTTTTTTTCTTATTTTTATTTAACATTCTGTTTTATGATCTATTTTACATTGTAATTCATGTTTGTCGATCTGTAACACCCCTAAGACAAATGTGTTTTATGAAAATGTTTACCTTGAATGTGTACTTTTTATATTTTTTATTAATGTGTGCTTGCCTCTTTATTTAATATGTTGAATCTACAATTTTTGCCTTATATCTGACTGTTCCTTTGCTCTAACAATATTAAAGGGGCCCTATAAAGCTCATTTTCAGGTGTATATCAGTATGTAGTGTCTCTACTTTAAAGAGTCCTCTCCTGCTGATGTTCAGGTGTATATCAGTATGTAGTGTCTCTACTTTAAAGAGTCCTCTCCTGATGATGTTCAGGTGTATATCAGTATGTAGTGTCTCTACTTTAAAGAGTCCTCTCTTGCTGATGTTCAGGTGTATATCAGTATGTAGTGTCTCTACTTTAAAGAGTCCTCTCCTGCTGATGTTCAGGTGTATATCAGTATGTAGTGTCTCTACTGGGACATGTCTCCATGCTTTAATGTTCAAAAAGCTCTTTATTGTTCTCATACTGTCTGTGCTGCAGCACCTCTTTTCACCCTCTATCTGAAACCAGAGCCCAGTCTGCTCTGATTGGTTAGCTGGCCGGCTCTGTTGTGATTGGTCAACCGCTTAGAGATGTCCCGCCCCTTAGCCTATGTACAATGCGGAAAATACCCAAAAAGCAGAATTAGACCTCTTTTATTTCCCCACAATGGGACGAAAAATGATTTCTCTTTCTGATTAAAGCTATCTAAACTCCCCTTTCCATATTCTACTATTCTAAGTATTGCACATACAGTGTATTATGTAACGCTGTAGTAAACCGAGGAAGGTTTCAGAGAAAACAAATATAAAGCAGATACAATATCTCTTATTAGACAACAGATAAAGCGTGATAAGATAATGTGCAGAGAGTTAGCGGGATAGCCTTAATATTGGCGGTTGTGAACACTGCAATCGATCGTGTCTGTTGTTATTATTCAAATCTATAAATACCAGGAAAGGATGAAATACGGGGGAAACATCCTAGAACATACGTTTATGTTTTACACACACACACACACACACACACACACACACACACACACACACACACACACACACACACACACACACACACACACACACACACACACACACACACACACACACACACACACACACACACACACACACACACACACACACACACACACACACACACACACACACACACACACACACACACACACACACACACACACACACACACACACACACACACACACACACACACACACACACACACACACACACACACACACACACACACACACACACACACACACACACACACACACACACACACACACACACACACACACACACACACAGAGAAAGCCTTGAGCAGCATGTTAGGTGTTTTTCCTCGATGACCTGAATGATGACTCATTGGGTGTAAGAATGCGTGTGATGTGTTGAAATGAAAACAAACAGGCTGTTGTTATTTGCATTTGTATTTTCAAGATAACCTGAAGTTGTAGATTCTGCACCCCACCCCCAACCACACACCCACTGACACTCAGTATGCCTCACAGCTGTCAAAACAGCACCGGATTCCAAAGGGAAACAACTCTCAGATTTCCTCACAGGAGAATATAAATTAAGCTTAATTTGTTCACTTTATCCAAACTAAGCTTTATGTATTCAATATAAAACAAAACATCCCTTTCCTGAAGCTCTGGTTATGTGGGGCGCTAGTGATGCTTGAAACACTAATGTGTGTCAGATATGTATTACATATAATTTCCACATTAAAGAGGTTCTATTGTGCTTTTTTGGGGGGGACTTTTCCCTTTCCTTTAGTGTGTTGTATAGGTTTTGATGCATGTAAATGGTCTGCTAAGGCTAAAATCCCTCTGTTCCCTGCAGAGGGAGTTTCTCTCCGACACATTCCCCCCCTGCTCCTTTGTTTTCTTCCAGAACATAGTGACATCAATTTGTAACACTGGCGCTCATATTGGCTAGCGCTCCAACACATCTTTAAACATAAAGCAAGTGAACATCTCACGGTAGGAGCACACAAGACAAATACAAACATGAAAATGAGTATAATAAAGCTCCTTAAAAGTCCCTCGATAGGCATCTATTCCTACTTCTTATGAAGTTATCTTAAAGTTTTCCTGCAAAAACAAAATGTGTCCCATTTCACTGCAGCGCTTTTCTCAGCAGATTTACACTTGAGATTCCAAGTTTGATCTGATCCGGATGGTTACTAATTCCTTTTCTTTATGGCGGTCATTTTTGACCGGGAACACCATGGGTGTTACAAAGTTGACTAAATCATCCAAAATTCAATGAAAGTGGTGATCAGCAATTGTATATGTTCAAATGTCTACTGTGAAGGATATCATGAAGCCTTAATGCAATCGAATGTAAAACTAAAAAGTTATGATTGATGAAAGTAGCAAATCGGTCAGATTTGACCCGAAGACAACAGGAGGGTTAATAAAACAAAATAGTTCAAATGGATGAGTAAACCCATATTGTTGATATACTGCATATTCTCTCATGATGTTTGGGCTAAATTAATCATTCTACATAAAATGAATGGACAACTTTTTCTCAACAAATACAGTTTTCTAAATTTAACAAATGAAAAAGAAGCAGTCTGCAGATGTGACCACGTTTAGATTCACTCACGTAATGTTGAGCTCACGAGTGCAAAGAACATCCACTCCCTGAATAAACAGATTAAATAAAGATAAGTCACGACTCACTTGAGAAAAAAGGTAGAAGCTCTTAATAAAATCCACTTTTCGAATCAACCAGAGAACGGCCAGACCAAGATGTATTCACACTCTTACTGTTGAGATTAACCTCTGATTCACACCAGCGGCAGATATTACCTCAGGTGTTGTTCTGAACAGCGTAGGAGCTTACGCTGCAGACCGGGAAAGAGACATAACACTTATTAGGAACA